CATCAATTCGAAGTTGGTCAAAGAATGCCTAGAGAAGCTCAACAAATTAGGCAAAGAAAATAAAGTCCTCCTACTCTGGGTGCCTGCTCACCAAGGGATAGAAGGCAATGAAAAAGCAAATGATCTAGCTAGAAAAGAGCGAACACTCCACTAACTGGACCAGAACTGTTCTGTTTTCCAAACGGGAACCAACTGAAAGCGGAACTGAAGAATCTGGTAACTTGGAATGGGTGTCCTCCAACGGTCTAAGACACTTGAAAAAATTCCTCAGAACTTATGACCGAGAAAAATCAAAGTTTTCCTTGATTTAAGTAAAAACAATCTTCGGATTGTCACGGGGTTTCTACCAGGACACTGTCTCCTCAACGAACACCTCAGTAGGCTGAAACTGAGAAACAACGGCGAATGCAGATTTTGTGGGGAAAAAGGGGAAACACCAGAACACCTTATCACAGAGTGCGCCGAGACGACGACCATTCGTGCCATGAACCTTGGTACGTCTGATGTCGAGGATGGAGAGCTGGCCTCTGTGGAGCCGACTCAGATACTGGCTTTTGTTAAAGCCCTGAGACTGTATGATGAGTTTTAACTCGTTATAACTCAAGAAAGGGGAACACACAATAGATCTATAAGGTCGCGTTGATTAACTCCCCTCCTAAACATTCTACATTCATTCTACAAGACTGAAAAATGGAACTTCATCATCATCAACCAAGTTCTCTGCTAGTCGTAGACCTCCCTTGTTTGCTTCCATATCTCGCTATGTTGAGCAATTTGCATCCAGTTATTGTGGATACGCCTTAAGTCGTCATACCATCTGGTTGGAGGACGGCCTCTGCTCCTGAATGCATCATGTCTTTGTCTCCACTCTATAATTTTTTTCGTCTATCGATCATTTGTTTAGCCTTGCAATGTGCCCAATTCCATTTTAAAGTTGTCATTTTCTCTATGGCATCCGTGAAATTTGTTATGTCTCGTACTTCCATAATCAGTCTCTAAAATTTAGCTCCAACATTAATCTTCATATTGTTCTTTGTGTTTTTCTGATTTTGCTTACTGTTTTCCTTGTTAACTTTCTCTATGGGTAGTACCGTAACCACCGTAATAACAAGGCCATCCAGCTGTGACGTAAAAATCTCGTGACGTCACCAACTGGAGGCCTAACTCTATTTAGCAGCGTTGATAATTACCCGATAAAAGTTCAAATTGTGGATCTTTTTTCACTCAATAGATATATTTCGATGTTTTAAAATGTCTTTATCTGAGTTTTTAAAAATATTGTCAAGGTGTATTACTGGTTGCATAACTGCATGCTGCTAAATAATCGCAACGTGCATTGAGGAACCTGGCGCATTCGCCAGAAAGTAAAAGAAAATTATAGAATTCTTTAGAAAATTCCAGAAACCATCGCCAGGGTGTATATAAGGCCCGCGCTTTGACAGTTGGACAAGTCTGAAGATAGTCTGAAGTTTGATAATACCGCGAAATACCGTTAGAGTAATAGTAGTTGCATAAGTTGTGTTGTAAATAGTATAAGTTGTGTGTACAGAGTGAGACAAATAAATTTGTTAAGTATTTTATCGTGAGTTTAAATAGTGGACCCACGGAATCCGTAACAATATTATAGTATATAAAAATAGTTTTAATAGAATACGGAAAAAATCATACCAGTCAATAAATGTTGATCTCTCACTTGTTATCAATCAAATTTAATAAAGGAATATTTTATAGGACATTTAGATCTGAAATTAGAAACCTATTTATATGGCCAAAATACTACAGTCCAGGTAAATCAACTAAAAACGCCATTTGAAAGATTTATTATAAATGAAATTGATAGTTTATTACTTGATTCTCTAGTTTTACAAAGCTAATAGTAATACTGATCAAATTATTAGTCATGCTTATTATTTACTAAATTCTTTAAAATGCGATGAAAATAATAAATTCCTAACTTTTATCTGTGTTCAATATTAAAGTTATTAACTTGAGTTGAGTAACAGGTTGAGCTTGAAGTAATAAAATATTATTTTAATCAGTAAAATATGAGGTATGTTTTACTAGAGAACTTGCAAACTGAATTTCTTGGAAGTAGGTTTGGAAAATATAGAGAGTTAGCTGGGAGTCAGTACAATATTTGTGTTCGACATTTATATGAAGGCGAAAAGAAACTTAGGATTCAGTCATTAATGTCCCTAAAATCTACTTGTTTTGGTTCTATAAAAATCGATACTTTTTATGATTTTATGATGACAATACCTTGTCTAAGGAAATACCACGCGATACAAGTCTCATCGAATCAGATTGGTTTAACATCTACATTACTATTTCTGAACAAGATATCGAAAGTGTGAAGGAAGAAAGGCCTGTTATTGCTTATTTAGGAGGATATTGCTGTTATATTGTCTTAAAGGAAATTAAATGCGATACATGTAAGAATAATTTAACATTTTCAGACAACACTGATATTGAACAAAATTCACTTATAAAAAACCTTACTAAAGGCAGTCTTGGGTTTCCAAAAGATGAAATAACTAATATAGTTTTATTTGAATATATAATATAATATAATTTTTAACAAAGTTTTGCAAAGCCATGAGGAGTTTCTCAAAATTCACAATAAAAAAATATTTTTATCAAAAATATCTTTGGATTACACACCATTATTAAAATTTCCGCAATGTACTATTTATAATGCTAAATAATTGTAAAAATCGTCATAAATTCTATTAGAAATACACGTCTGAAAAATTACTGTTGTAAAAAAAACGATAGACTTGGAAAAGAAAATAAAAGAAACTTAGACACAGTTACAGCATAAATAAATACAATGACGATGGATAATGTGAGATGGGATATCAATCTGATATTTTTTAAATTTTATGTTTAACTATTATTTATTAAAAATTCGGTGCAATTAAAGTTTATATCCACTAAGGCCTGTTTACACTACATGCAATACGGTGCAATGGCAATTTTTTAGTTGCCCGAACGCATGCGCACCTCACACTTTTCGATCAGTTGATGCAATTTTTATTGCATTGCATGGAATTAGAACACGCGCTAATTTGATTGCACGTAGCATGCAATTTTTGCTTCTACCAACCAAAAATATTATAATATATTATAAAATCAAATTTTATAATTAAAATAATATAGTTTCTGTTTAACAATCCATGTTATAGGTACAAATAAGAATAAATTAAGATACAAACTCAAACTACAAAATCTAAAAACCTTTAATAAGACATACACAACGATACCTTGAAGATAAAATAAAAAAATAAATGAAACAGTTGTTATAGTCATTTTATTTAGGTTGGCACAATAGATTCTCAAAATTATGGCATGTATTTTATTGCACCCTATGTAAACGGTAAATTGCCCGTGCAACCGAATTGCATGCCATTTTTAAAAATTGCGTTGCATCCAATTGCATCTAGTGTAAACACCGTTTTAGATACGTATAAAGTGTATCAATTGCAATCAAAGTTTAGGCCTCCAGTTGATGACGTCACGAATAAGCTGTCCGGCCTTGTTATTACGGTGGTTACGGTAGTACACATTGAATATTTTTCTCTTCGTCTGTTGAGCTCGCAAGTTTGGTTATCGCGGCTTATACGTATTTCGTGACCCAAGTACTTGTAAGCAGTTGTTTCTTCAATTTGATATTGAAGTCTCATAGAGTGTAGTCTCATAGAGTAGTATGCCTCAATAGAAATAGTCTCTTAATAGATAAAAATCATAATAGATTTGTCAACAGCATTTGCTTGATCCGGACCGCATTATTTTAAATTTTAGCTTAATTTAGTATTTTTGTATCCCTCATAACTTAAGAACGAGAATTCGTATTAACCATTAAAAATAAACGATTTGCTTCATTTTAAGTAGCTCATTAAAAAGTTTCCAAAAATTTTTTCTGTAAAATAAAATGGGGAAAACTTATTCATCATTTTTAAAATTCACATGTGATTTCCTATGTCCAGGTCAGGGATGCAACACACGGTATTATAAAGGTGCGTTCACACCGGCTGCGCCAAGTGTATGTTTTTTAACATATAATACTTTTGTGCGCGCTAAAAAAATACACTTCAAAACCGCATGTTAAAAAATGTTTTGCGCGGCGCGGCGCAGAGCGGCGCAGCTGGTGTGAACGCACCTTAATATATTCCACTGCCAATTACTAATACGTTTGTCATCACTTGGGCTTTTGATATGTTGATTTTTGGTGCCATTTGTTCAGAGATTGGAAAATATGCGCAAACAAGCTGCGCAGATTTTGTTGCATGAATATTACTGTATACATAATGAAGGTTAAAAACTTTTAAGAATGCCCTCGTAGGACAAACCCCTGTATAGCAATAGGTCATCTATTACACAGAGATATCCACGGTACTACTTCAGAGACACGCGTACTTAACAGTAAGCCATCGTTTAGGAAGCAGAACTAACGAGAATGCAAAAAAAAACACCGGGACTATAATGGCCCCAGAGTAAAATAAGGACGTACCGCGTAGCAATTAAACCGATAAGTACTCGGGTACTATGCGTGTAGGTACGTCTAGTTTTTTTCCTGCCTAGTTTAATTCAGGAATCAGTCGAAGAAACATTCCCAGAAACGTTTTCTTGCTCTGTTTGATAGAATTCGATGTAAAAATTACGTCGATTGCGTTTAGCTATTTTTTTCATTAGTTGGGTTGTCTTTTATATTTTGCATAAACATTAGGGTGTCCGTTACTTACAAAGACCGTCCTCCATACAGTCCCGACATAAGTCCTAACAACTTTTTTACTTTTCAAAAAATTAAAAATGAACTGCGTGGTCAAAGGTTCCAATTCCCAGAAGATGCAGTTAGAGTTTGACTGTTTTGGACAAACCAGTAAAACATTCTAATCTTGTATTGTATACAAAAAACATGCTAGTGCATCAGAAGATGATTAAAACTTTCTTTGGTGTATTACGTGTTATTTTGATATAAACTTTACTGTAGTATTTCTTACCGTTTTAGCAATTGTCCAAAAGTGGCATCGCCACAAACTCTACCTTTTAGAACTGTTTTAATGAACCATCTGTTAAAATCACTTTGTTTTGATACAGCATCTTCGAAAACATGTAGGTCTTTGTCTTCACTCCATCGATCAATCACCTAAAAATATCTAACGACGTATTTTTATATTAACGTTAAATTTTGACATACAGAAAGAACAACAAGTATCCATTTCTATTTTATTATTTGATATTTCAATAATAGAATATGTGTAAATACTTGTGTTTCTGAAAACTACGTTTTTGATCATACAACGTGTTTAAATACATGTTTTACAAATGAAAGGAGAAAATCTAGATTTTATGATTTATTATGATTTTTTATTTACAACCACATATGTAATACTGATATTACTGACTTTTAAAAAATTTGAAAGTATCAATTTATCTACATTATTTCTTCCCTATTCTATCATTCCCCTCAACTATTTCCCTCACCCATTTCCCATTTCCCTCACTCGGTTTTTCTTATTTCGTGCCACATTTAATTCAGCAAAATATTGTTGTAATATCTTTATTAAATACTTATCTAACATCAACAAAAATAAACAAGAATATTAACAATAATAATTGAAGATTTTAATACATTTATTTGTTTAAATTAATGGTCAAATTGTCCTCCAAGTTTTGCGTGGTAAAAATGCTAGACTTCTTTGGCTTAAAACCTACATTCTGGCGTTTTAAAAAAGCGACGAGTTTGTGATATTATGATATGTCAGTCTTTTCCCTTAATTCTAGCATTGTCCGTATCAGGCTGTATGTAGTCCAAAGAGTAGATGGCTTTTTCTGCTTTGCCATGTCGCTAAAATATGCCATCAAGACTGTCTCCGAAGCAATATTCTTAGCATTTCTTTCGGCACACCATTTTTCGTATACTTTCAATGCTATTTCATATCGCCCGCTACATTTCTCTGGAAGTAAACTGGCTTCAGCTCTTTTTGCAGCTTCTGTAAGTTCTGGTGGAGTACCAACATTAAAGTAGCCTTCATTATCAGAACTTTCCGACAACATTATGGCTTTCTATGTTATACAAATTCGAAAAAGCGAACGAGAAATTCAAAACTGTCACTTAGTTGTTTGTTTTGCTGTTGAAGCATAGACAAACAAGTAAAAAGAGACTGGCAAATTAAAGGGCAAAGAGAGGGACAACGTTCCCGTAGCGCAACTCAGAACGGAAAATTTCGTTCTATTTATGTTGATCTGCGTATTGCGTCTATTGGGCCCACTATCTCATTCTAAATTCTAATATAACAAGAGAGGAAGAAGCAGCCATATAAAACGTAATTTCTAAATAGAAATTAGAACAATCGCCTTTCGTTTTCGTCATCATGACAACCATGATAACAACATCATGACAATTTGTCATGTTTGTTAATTTTTCTTTTGGTGATTTACCTTTTTTTTCTAAACTCTCCATTTTATTGACTTATGAATATGGATAGGGAACAAATTCCTTTGTTCCATATAGGTATTTATATTTTGTTACTTATAATTTTAGGTTATACTATTTGTTATTTTATTTGCTGCAGGAGCCAGTATCATCTCTCTTAACATAACAAATTAACACAATTAATTTTTTTCATTTTTTGGGTAGGTAGTTTATAGCTGGTTTATAGGAACCAGAAACTTTATTAATATACCTATTTTACTTTTGTTTTAGGATTAAAACTGAATTTGAAAATGGTTCTGGATCATGATCTCGTAAAGTCTTCTTTGCTTGGATATTCACTTTGTTATTGCAATTAGGCAGTTTTTTCGAAAATGAGATTTTTAATGCCCTTTAAAAAAATTGGCCGATCGTTTCCTGCAACAGTCAGTTCTTCTGCATTTAAAATTGGTAGGTGGGTGGAATAAACACTGTTATTTTTTGTTATTATATTATAAAAAGTTTATTTATTTTTATGTATAAATAATGCCCACTTGCACCGTTTGTATAAACTTGGTTTAAATGCTAAACAGTGATTAACTATAATAAAATATATATAGTTAATCACTGTTTAGCCTTTAAACAAAGGTTATACAAACGGTGCAAGTGGGCATAAATATGTTACTAAAACAGTACAATTTTTGCTTTTTTTATAATTTCCCTTATAATAGTAGTATTCTTTCGTTCTGAAAGAAACTGCAAATTTTCACTTACACTGATTTATTCCCTACACCACGTTCCCTTTACGTGGTATAGGGAATAAATCAGATTAAGTGAAAAATTTCAGTTTCAGAATGAAAGAATACTATACTAATAATGGCTAATTTTAATTTTCCGCCAGCTAGAATGTGCGATAATGTCTTACGATACGTTTTATACCTATCTCTTTCTCTTTCTTTTTCATATAAAGCACACATAATAAAGAAAGATAGCAATAAAGACGTACGTCCTGCCATGGTCCTGCTAATTGGTTTCAAAATTGTTATTCTGAGTTGCGCTACGGGAACGCGGTCCCACTCTTTACCATGAGATTTGTCAGTCTCTTTTTATTTGTTTGTCTATGTGTTGAAGGTTTGCGCCATAGATTTAGGAAGAACAGATATCACATTTTGCATTTTAACCCGATCAAACAATCGGAGGTTGACTACGTACTGTAAAAACAAACTGAGATAAAGAAGGCGACATTGCCACATCTCAAATTTGCGCCTATCTACTTAGTTTGATTTGCAGAAAAGGTGACTTTAAAACCTTCACCGGATATCAATAAATCTCAATTTCTTAATTAAATTAATAGTTTATTTTTAAAGAAGCATGCGTAATAATATGTTATTAACCAGAGGATATGCGTTACTATTAAAGGACATGTTTACTGTTTAATGTGCTGAAACGTCTAGAACAATTGGCAACGTTGCTGCTAGTCTTCCAGAATGAAATGATCCGTCCGTCCCACCTAAGGTCCCACCACCCCTCGCGACGGACCATGGTCCGTTATAGCGTACTACGTTTAGCTTACGGTGTGTTTGAAGTCGGAATCAAGTCCGAAGTGAACTTTTCAGTGTTTTTCAGTAGTTTTTGCTTTTGTTTAACGTACTTTTGAATCTGCGAATTTTCAATATGGTACGACAGTGTCAAATGTGTGGAAAAATAAGCTCAAATTACCCGAATTTGTCTTTTCACAGGTAGGTATTGTTTCCGCCGCGCCGTAATCTCCGTACATAGGCGTCCCACAAGGGAGCCTCTCACAATTAAAATAATTTCTAATTATATTTGGTGAATTTTGAGCTATTAAAACAAGAACGTAGTAGCCGGTAATTGAATTATAATTCGTCTCAATTACTACTTAACTGTTGTAGATCATAACAAATTTGAATATAAACGTTGCATTTGAAACTTTATTATAAGCCAGAAAGTGATATTTTTTTCTTAAAATTGCGTCATATTTTGGTCATTATATACGATATTCTAAAGGAATTTTGCTCAACAAATAAACAAAGGTGTACCCGCCCTTTTTTACATTTGATTTCATTATTATATCTGCCCCTTCGGCCTCGTTTAAACAATTTTTTACCACCGTACAAATACCTCTTCCTAGAGTTATTTGTACGGTGTGTTTACCTTTTTTTTTAGAATGGGACAAACTGTAAATAATTCTTATGCCCACTTGCACCGTTTGTATAAACTTTGTTTAAAGGCTAAACAGTGATTAACTATAATAAAATATGTATAGTTAATCACTGTTTAGCCTTTAAACAAAGTTTATACAAACGGTGCAAGTGGGCATTAGGCTACTAGTTTTATACATACCTATATACAGAGTGACCCAGGCCTCCAAAAAAGCTTTTTACCTATTACGTTTTAGGTTTGTAATTTTTATTTCAATTTTTTACATAAGATGGGGGCCATTGTAACACACGCACATTTTCGAAATATTTTTGTCAACATACAGGGTGATTCTCGGGGTGATTCAAACCGCAATACATATGCTTAATACAGTTCATGAAGATTGGGACATTTAACTAAAATTTGATTGTCTGATGAACGTAATATTCATTATTATGTGACAGAAATCCCATACAGTAGCACACAGATTTGATACTTTTAATGATAAATGCCTTCTATTGAGAGACTAAAAGGTAATTGCCTCGTATCAGAGCCATCATAATACAAGAAGAAGACCGAAAGTCAAATTTTGTCTTATATTTTCAAAAAAACACAATTTTCTCATTAAATATTGATTTTAGGTATAGGAAGTTATTAATATAATTAAGTATACAAGATTAAACAACTATTACATAGTACTTTACAGGAAGCTATCGATAGCAAACTAACTAAATCGTTACTAATTACTAATTTTAAAAAGTTCTTTTTAGGATCAAAAAAGGTAAAACTAAAACCTAAATTATCATTTGAGATTAAACGGTAAGTTCTAAATAATGTTGCCTATTCTAAACAAGAAAAATTTATTTATAAGTTTTATAACATCTCTAATTAAATTTGGACGAAACTAATATTTCTGTTTGCTGTAGGTAATTTTCTCAGAGAAAATACGTAAATAAAAATGACTTTTTAACTCAAAAAAAGTCAAAAGGACAAGTTATTCTAAAAAAGGACTGTCCTTTTCAAAAAAGGACAGGTGGCAACCCCAGGTATTTCTGGAATGGAAATTTAATGGCAAATCTACAACTTTAGTTTGAAAATATGTTCCGGCCACCTATGTTTACAAAAATGTCTAAAATGTGCTTTACCATTGCCTCCATATTCTGAAAAAGAAATTGAAAGAAAAGTCACCAACCACAAACCTAATATAGACCTGTTTCGGAAGCCTGAGTCACCCTGTAAATATTCAAAAGTAACTGAAAGTTTATATAGAATTAACTGAAAGTTTAAATTGAAAATCGACGTTGGAGCGATTTTCGAAAACTACCTACTAACGTTTCAACATAAGTATATGTGGGATATTAATTATATTATTATATTAGACCTTATAACAAAACTCATCTGACGAAAAAGTGTTAATGTAGTATATTAATATGGAGTAAACATTTTACTAATTACTTTACTTTTACTTTACTAATTAAATTCGTTCCAAAAAACGATACACCACTGGCCATTAGAACAATCCAAATGCGCCTAGTTGCCGGGGTCGGAAATTTTAGACTTCTCTGTCTCTTCTGTCCTTGTTTGACACATTGGAATGTTTGATACACTAGCAACGAGTATTTATGAATGAGATGTTCGGTCTATATTTATAATGTCTTTGGTTTGCGCCATAACAACCACTGGTACCGGTAACTATAGATATGGAAATGCCAAAACAGAAAACGATAAATTTTCGAATATTTTTTTTTTCAAATTAAAATGCCTTTTTTTCAAATTAAAATTGTCCCTATTTTTTTAATTAATGATGTGGTTGTAAATAAAATAGTATACAAACCTCGAAGGAAAGTTTTCATTATTATCTCGAGATTTTGTTAATCTCTAGACAGTAATGAAACACTTAAAACCCTCCTCGGTATGTAATATACTATTTCTATTACCTTATGTTTAGGGTCCCTTGTTTTTGCCCCTAGATAAGGCCAAACGATGTAAGTCTGAATCTGAGAACTGACTGCATGACCTAAACCGTTTTGGAGCACTTCTAGATGATCTCTCAGCTGATGCTGAGCTGATCTCTTGTTGTTTTTGATGATTTTTGCGTCTGCTGTTATTTCAATGTTCTCTTTGAAGGTAGATCGATCATTGGTTGATTTTACTTCAATCAGAAGCACGTAATGTTTATCTGAAAGCAATTTATTATACATATTTAAGTACAAACTAAATGTTTTTATATCATTAATAAAAGAAATTTTGATGAGACTGTTACCTTCACATTTTACAAAGACAACAAAATCATGTTCACGAATCATCAATTTCCCCAATCTTTGATTTCTGTTGGAATATCCAGCGTAGGAAGCACTATGGAAGAAGATTATCGATAAATCCGATGATACATCTATACTAGAGAGGTTTTTCAGTCTTTGGAACACCAATTTTTCAGCTTCACAAGCTTGCCTTTCTCCATTTTTCCTGAAATATTTTGGAATACTATGGACCGAGTTTTCCGAAGAACATGGAAACTCACTTTTGATATACCTGGAATTAAAAAGATTTCTTATGTTTTCAGAATTACCTCTTCATTTTATTGTATAGCTAAGTGGTTTCTTGAATATTTTTTTTTATAAAAAGAATGCACTAGGAAAATGGAAACTTAGGTAAGAAATAGCCAGTTCATTGAAAACAAAAAAATCCTGTACAGGGTGGGTCAAATTCGACGCTTTTAAATGGAAACACCCTTTTCTATAGGAGATAGACAAAATATAATATGGGTATCTGGAGCTCAATTTTTGTCAAAAACACGACGGTGAAAACCGCATATCGATATCTGTGACCGTTTCGGAGTTACGGGGTGTTTTTCAAAAATATTCATTTTCCACAAATCGCTGTAACTTTTTTGCTATGGAAAATTTTGTATTTTTATGAAAACATTTCCAAGGCACCTTTTTACGTAGAATATAATGGTTTAAATATAGTTTTTTTAAAATTAATAATTTAAGAATTATCAACAGAAAATTTGATTTTTTATATGGGTATGTTTTTAATTTATTGAAAAGAATTTAAAATTACTTTTCTAAAATATAACACACTTGATATTTTGCTCGATTCCTCTTCGAGATATAGAGTATATCAAAATTCGCCCGCTTTAAATAAGTATATAGGCTTTGAACGGCACCGGCTGTAATGCAAAAAAATTCTAGCTGTGGGCATCCATTAAAACGAAAATAATATTTGCTATGAGAGATGCAGAATTTTATAACAATGTAAAATATATTTAACCAACATCAACACATTTAAACTATATCTAATAACAATAAAAATAAATAGCAAACCAGGACATAAGATTTTGCTACAGGTGTTCGACATATCGACTGTCTTCTGTTATAGACAGACGGGGCAGTTTTTGAACATTTCTCGCGGAATTCATTAACTCAGTGGAGGTGAAAGATACCCTCTCATAACTGCTAAGTATTTCTAATTCTTGTCTAGATTATACGGAAGAATAAGGAACCTTTATTCTTCCGCAAATATATCCATAGGATTAGATCCATGGGCACTAAGTCAGGCGGCTTCGACGGCCAACGGCTGGGATCTTGGTTAGCTATTCAATTATTCTTGAAATTGGCTGCAAAAATTTGGTGATAACTTCAGCGTTCAGAGGCGGTGCGTCGTCTTGCTGGAAAAATATGTTTTCGAGTTCCATTAAGGGCATATCATCAATAAGGGGTTCAAAGCCTACTAGTTAAAATTGGCGAACTTTTAAAAATTCTGTATTTCGAAGGGGATTATAACAAAATATCAAGTGTGCTGTATTTTTGGAAAGGTAATTTTAAATTATTTTCAGTTAATTAAAAATATAGAGGGTGTCCCAAATAAAAAATCAAGTTTTCTGTTGATAACTCTTAAATTATTAATTTTAAAAAAATTATACTTAAACAATTAAATTCTACGTAAAAAGGTGCTTTGGAAATGTTTTCATAGAAATACAGAATTTTCCATAGCAAAAAAGCGATTTGTTAAAAATGCACATTTTTGAAAAACATCCCGTAACTCCGAAACGGTAACAGATATTGATGTGCGGTTTTCACCATCAAGTTTTTGATGAAAATTGAGCTCCAGACACCGATATTAGTTTTCGTCTATCTCCTATAGAAAAGGGTGTTTCCATTTAAAAGCGTCGAATTTGACCCACCCTGTACACAGTAGGGTGCACCAAAAAAATATTTTTTTTCTTTTTAGTTACCGTGATAATATCGTTCAGGATGATAAAAAAAAATTCTGGTAAAGTTTGAGCTTTTAATATTAATATTAAGAGGTGCTTCATAGTGATTTTCTACTTCCCATTTAAATAACACGGGTAAAATTCCAAAGAAAAAAATATTGTTTTTTTTTCACAACCAAACCAAACCAAACCAAACCAAACCAAAACAATATTTTTTTCTTTGGAATTTTATTGCGTTCTAACATATCAGCGTTTTGTAAAAATCAATACATATTCTTGTAGGAAATTGAACGGTCATAAAAATGGTCTGATATGAACTGATCATTTAATCGACTCGTTTGGAAGATATTGAAGGTTAAAATTTATCTTCAAATCGTTCCACAATTTTTTATATTTTATCACGAAATAATGGCTCAAAAATATAAAGTATTATATTTTATTAACATATATCACACTAAAATTAAAGTGGTCTACAAATAAAAGGTTACTTTTACGATAGAACACCTCTATGGTTACTTATTTCTCTAAGGTATTAAGTAATTAGTTTTAAGAATGGCGACACATAAAAAACACAGGAAATTAGCAAGACCAGCCCCACCGACAAGATATTAATAGAACCAGAAAAAATGTAGAAAAATGCGTTTGAAAAGTAAAACTAAATTATTGTAAAAAACGATCAAAACTGGAAACTGGCAGCCGCGATAAATTTTCATCTAATTAAGTTGAAAAATAAACGAGCGAATAACTTGACCGCCGTTTAAAAGGAAAGTAAAAAGAGATCATCATCTCCTGCATAAATATGCACTCCCGTTCGATGTAATTAAATGAAAAATGGTGTAAAATTATCCTATGCGGGCAACCAGTGCAGGACTCGATATATTCTTGCATTTTCTGTGATCTAAATACCTTATAGCACAGAATATGTAGCTACGCCCCTATTAGTTCAGTCATTGGGGATCAAAAAAGGAGCCTGCTTGGAAAAAAGTCCTGAAGTTTTGAAACTTTGCAGGTTTATAGGTTTTGGGGTCCCTAACTAAAATCCATAAAACGCACATTTCCAGATTTGCCGCCGGCGCCGTCATTTTGCCAACATGGCGCCCAAAATCGGTATTTTGTGACTATCTCGAAAACTATGCATTTTTCGCGAAAATTTGAGGAGAGAAAAATTAAAGAGAATAAAATTTTCTATAAAAAAGGTTTTATGAAAATTTTCGCTAAAGTCAACCATTTAGGCACAAAATCCCTGGAATTTTTACAATTTTGCGTATACATAATATAGTCGATTTTCCGAAATCATATGTCGATTAGTGTTCACTAAAACTAGTTTTAGTTTAGTTTTTTCAATTTTGTCATAAAACAGTGGCGTATCATTAATTCGCTCATTAATTTATGAATAATTAATTGTCGTGCTGGACAGCATTCATTGCGAACTTACCACCAGGTTCAGCATTGGTCTGGTTGTACCAAAGATGCCGAAGAATGGGGTTGGAAGAAAACAAAAACAGGCATTACTCCAGTCACAACGTTGAAAGATCCAGCTCCAAAATCCCTATTGGCATTTTTATCCTGTAAATACAAAACCAACAACTATGGTAAAGCCTGCGGATGCAGAAAAGCAGGATTAAAATGTTCAATGATTGGTGCATACTGCAATGGGAAATCCTGTGACAACGTCACTGAAGTGTCACTCGACGAATCCGATGAAGAGGAGTTGGACTTGCCTGTAGATATCCCTCTGGCGGCTGAAGATGAAGTGTTGGACGTATTGAGAGACCACCCTGATGGTGGTCTCTGAATCTCAGGATCGACTTTGACATCAATGAGCCAGATCCGTCGGGCTTGTGCAGATAAGTTAAAGTTTTTAATTTATCTAGTGGAGTACGCCTCCGGGGAGACCACGTTAAATTAAACGCGCCATATACTTTACCTCTTGGGTGATATGGAAACAAGTACACATTTTCAATAATTAAAATTAATTATTCATACATTAATGAGCGAATTAATTATACGCCACTGTTTTATGACAAAATTGAAGAAACTAAACTAAAACTAGTTTTAATGAACTCTAATCGACATTTGATTTCGGAAAATCGACTATACATAATATATCATATTTTACGCAAAATTGTAAAATTTCCAGGGATTTTGTGCCTAAACGATTGACTTTAGCGAAAATTTTCATAAAATCTTTTTTATAGGAAATTTTATTCTCTTTAATTTTGCTCTCCTCAAATTTTCGCGAAAAATACATAGTTTTCGAGATATTCACAAAATACCGATTTTGGGAGCCATCTTGGCAAGATGGCGGCGCCGGCGGCAAGTCTGGAAATGTGCATTTTATGGATTTTAGTTAGGGACCCCAAAACCTATAAACCTGCAAAGTTGCAAAACTTCCGGACTTTTTTCCAAGCAAAAATCCCCAATGACTGAACTATATAGGCAAAAGGCTTATAGGCAAAACGAAACTATTATAAAATAATTTTTGTTTTTGTCAGGCTAGATGTGGATGTAAATTGTAATGGAGGGGGAAGTTGCCACAGCAACCTTATATATCTGTTGTGTCCCCCTTTCGTGAGTTATAACTCATAATACAGACTCAAGACGTTGAAAAAATCCAGTGTATGACACGGTTTTACAGAGATTAGCTCTCCATCTCCGATATCTGTCGTACCAAAGATTATGGCACGAATGGTTGTTGTTTCGGCGCACTTAGTAATGAGGTGTTCTGGTGTTTCCCCATTTTCTCCACAGAATCTGCATTCGCCGTTTTTTCTTAGCTTCAATCTACTGAGGTGTTCATTGAGGAGACAGCATCCTGTTAAAAACCCTGTAACAATCCGAAGATTATTTTTACTTAAGTCAAGGAAACTCTTTGATTTTTTGAAATTTCTTTAAGTGTCTTAGAGCGTTGGAGGACTCCCATTTCAGGTTACACATGGTCTTCCAGATTCTGGAGTTCTGCTGTAAGTTGGTTTCCACTTGGGAAGCAGAACGGTTCGTGGAGTGTTCGCTCTTTTTCTAGTTAGATCGTTTGCTTTTTCCTTGTCTTCTATCTCTTAGTAGGCTGGCACCCAGGGTAGGAGGACTTTATTTTCTTTGCCTAATTTGTTCAGCTTCTGCAGGCGTTCTTTCATCAACTTTGAATTGATGGTTAGTGAGTTAGTCGCTTTTAAGGCTGCTTGACTAATGGATTTCGTCAGGCTAAGAGCTCTTCTCGAAATCTATAAAACGTAAAAAAAATATAATTGACGCAATAACAGAGATCTTGTCTTGAAAGAGTTTGGGTGTTTCGCCACTGATCCTTCTTCTTCTTCTG